AAGTGGGAGAGCCTGGAGGAGCTGATAAGAAACCCGAGAAAAGCCGGCCCGTGGGAGCCTTTAGCTCGTTGAGTTATGAACGTCTTTGAAAAGACGGGCCGAAGGCTAAGCCTTACTTCGAGAAATCGTGCCACTAGACTTCGTATTCTATCGGCTAGTGCTCTGGGTCCAATGACTCCAATCGAGAAGTCGTCCGCAACGACTCCGCATAGCGAACATAGTGAATCCTTCGACTATGGGCCTCGCTGCACTACTCTCGACATGCACAAAAGACAAAAATAATGGGGGCGTATCTCGCCATGTTTCTAGCGAAGATTCACTGCACATTTCCAGAGTAGTGCAGCGAGGCCCTATGTTTCAGCTTCTTCATGCCTTAATGATCCTGGATCAGGAAACGTGGGATGAAGAGTTGTATTCGGTAAACGGGTTGTACAACAATTCCATTCATTCGTCCACCGGCATGACACCTAACAGGCTGCATTATGGTTGGCAGATCTGTAATCCGCTCTCTTACTCATTCAGTGAACCGCCAGCCGGTCTGACACTGGGCAGGCCTGGCTTGAGAGCCAAGTATGATCACTTGCTCAAAGTTGCCATTGCAGCAATATGACCAAGCGACAGCACGCCATGATCCATCATGTGAATAAGAAGCGCACACCATCTACAATTGAAGTGCGAAGTTATGTCTGGGTCAAAATGTCGGAATTTTCAGAGGAAGAGGGGGTATCACAAAAACCTCTCCCTCCCCCTTTTTTTTTTTTTTTTTTTTTTAAGAAAGGCTCCGACCTATTCGTGGGGAACAGCACGTGCTGAGAACCGGGCTCAGCATCCCTCATGAAATACATAGCAAAACTGACAGAGGATGAGATGGAATATGGAAAAACCCACCTTCTGGAAACTGGGTCTCTGCAGTCTATCCATCAATGCACGAGGCCCGGGGCCAGGGTCGCAAGGATGGTCCATGGGAAGTCTTGGATGTGATTAGTGATGATAAGTTCGGCCATTCATACGTAATTGCCGTGCCTCCTCATCTGCGCACGTACCCAATCTTTGATGTATCAAAGTTGCTTATATATCGAGATGTTAAATCCTTTGAATACCGTGAGAACATGATCCCTTGTGCAATTAATGGCGGTCACGAGATCGATAGAATTAAAAATCACGTGGGGAAGGGACGTAACAGACAATATCAGGTACAATTGAGTACTTTGAAATTTCCCAGATGGCACAATTGATCACACTCGCTCCTCAACGTCAATATGCTTTTCTGTTGCCCTGACACCAATTTGCATTCAATGAGCTTCCATTGGACTCGTTACTCTTGGATAACCATTTATGTATTTGTTTGTCTGTTTGCTTGCTTATCAAAATGCGTCATGCAACCCAGGTTGCTGAAACCAAAACCAAAAATAGAACAAAGACGTACCCAGCCAGCTGGCAGTGGTAGGTGTACATGTGACACTTGCAGGCTCCTTTGTCTCAACGTCAGGCTAAGCCTTCTTTCTTCGTCCGCTCGTCTTCATGGGCAGACATCACACAACCAAACAGACATGAGTAGACATACATGCGGCACTTGCATCTCCTCAGCATGTATATACACCCTCCATCGATTTGTATTGAATTCATGAACAGACATTGCCAGACACCAAGAACCCAAATGAACCAGGGCACCATCTAGACGAGATCCATCGTCTAAGCAAAACAAATAAGTGATTCAACCTCAATGAAGATAGTGTTGTCTACGCAGACCTTCCGTGTCTCTAGTTTCTATTATGTTGCAAAAAACATTGTGCAAGGGGTACCGAACTTGTCTTATATGATAACCTTGTCACCATGTTCCTTCAAGTTCTGTGGTACTTGTATCTAGATTCCTTTCACTTCCATGGTGTTTGTCTCACCCAACTGTGTTGCCACACTACTCCATTCCCTTTGTCTCCTCTCCCCTTGCCTCCCTTTCCTTCCCCTCGCTTCCCGGTCCCACCATGAAGAAGGTCTTCCCTCCCGAAATGAGGCAAGCATTGGGGAGTCCAATGCAAAGCGTAGGGGCTGCAGGAAAAGACCATACAGTCATCCCACTGCACTGACTGCAGCAAATGTCAATGAAATGAGCGACAGCAGAAAGTTACAGGGAAAAGAGCCAGCTGTTAGGACCTGCCAAGTACGGACTGAGACACAGCTAATTTCTGAATTTTGCTAACGGAAAGTATGCCTTGCTGAGATTCCCGCTTGTTGCTGAGTTTTCTAAGTCTGTGTGTGTGCGTGCTTGCTGGTCTGCGTGCCTGTCTGAATGCTTTCCGCCTTGAGCGTGTGTGTGACCCACAAGGGCACTTGTTCGTTTGAGAGACCCAAAGGGCCGGTACTTACCTGTGGCCGTGACATTGAGGGTTGCGGCGAGGAAAACACTCAAGTAGCGGGGGGATAGGCCTGCGAACCTTGGAGCAGCGGAAAAACACTCAAGTAGCAGGTAGGCCGGTACCTTGAGTAACGGTGGAAGTGTCGGGAACTGGAGGCCGAGCAGAAGAAGACAAAAGTTGGCATTTTCAGAGGCCCAGTAGTTGTAGGCTAGGTCTAGGCGGGTGCCAGTCCAAGTAGTCTGAGTCTAGGGCCCGTACGGGCGATATCAGAGTCTGCAATGATGTTTCCATCTGAAAGGGAGGAGGTACCAGTTGCTTGGAGGCCGCGCGGCCTGGAAGTCACTGCCCAAGAAGCAAGTAGGCCGCTATATCTCCAGGAGGAGCGAAGTGCCCCTTGTGATTTACTGTGTGCAAGTTTGGAGTCACGCTGCTGGCTCGCTGGAGGAGCAGCGCTGTGTGGGTGAGAAGGGCGCCCAGCCCCCCACCCTGGCTATGGTGGAGGAGCTCGGGCAGGAGGAGGATGAAGAAGGGAGTAGGAAAGGGGAGTGCCAGGGGTACTTACCTGGCTATGGTGGACAGCATCTTCATCGTCTTGGTTGGCGCTGCATCTGGAAGACCCCTGTTGGGTAGAGCGGCATCAAGAAGCTTTGAGGCAGACTCAGGCATGGCGGCCTGTGTAGGAGCAGCCATAGCTGCTTTGTGTTGCCTTTTGCACGGCAGGGCAAGGCCCTAGTAGTCCGCCATAGCCTCGGCCTTCATGAAGAGGAAGGAGAAGGGCGGCCATGGCTATGGTGGACCTCATGTTGTGCCTGCAGTAGAAGAGGGATTCGGACATTGATTCTGGTTCTGCCATTCATCATCGTTATTATTATTCTTATTTATCGTTTGAATAAGAGGGGAGCAAAAAAGGAGGAGGAGTTTGGTTGGCGAATAGAAGGGGAATTATCATTGGTCTTTGCTGCTGTACATTTCTTCATCTTCTTTCTTTCTTCTTCTTTTTTTTTTCTTTTCCTCGTTCTCCTCTCAAGTTCATGCATTTCTCTTTGCAATTGGACGACATTGTGCTTTCTCGTGAATTTGTACTTCAAAATTGGCCAGGATCGTAACACAGCTCTTCCCCCCCCCTTATAAAATATAAAAGTCGGACCATTTCTCGATTTATGAGTATCACCCCTGTGCAGGGACCATGCTAATCCTCTCTGTACAGTTCCAATTTTAACAGATGTCTCGAAGGATGGAAAAAAGACAGCTTAGAAAATGTCAATAGCATTAAGTTGGTACAAGTCACAGTGGCTGGTTATCCAGCACCTTACATTGAACACGGAGACCCAACCTCAGTTAACAGCCCCCACCTTTCCGCTTTCTTCTGGACAGAAAGTTCAGGCCCTGAAGTTTGCCTTAAATAGAACATCTAAAACAGCCAGAGATTATATATCATCGTAGGTTATAAAGTTATAAACTTATAACAGCAAAGAACAGAACCCTGGCCAACTGACTCTACCCTATTACGATTGAGGGGAGCTCCAGTACTTTCCAAGCCCCAGCCCCTGCCTTCTTGTTTTCTTCTGGATGGCAGCCTCAGGCCCTGAAGTTTGCCTTAAATAAACACCTAAACCAGCCAGGATTATGTATCATAGTAGGTTATAACAGCAAAGAATGAAGTCCTGGCCAGCCGACTCTACCCTATTATAATTTAGGGCTCCGGTCCATTCCAAACCCCGCAGGCTGTCAGAAAACAAAATCACCTCCTTTTCATCCAACTCTGGCAACCTCATTGAAGACGAGGGTTGCTGCAATCGTATGCAATAGGAAAAAATGAGTCTTCACGATCAACTTCTCTTAAAGATTTTTTTTAAAAAAAAGGGACACGGTACCCGATAATCTGGGAGCTCTCAGTAGGATCTGTCTAACTGTCACTTCTCCAAGTGAAAATGATTACTCGGGAGAAAGGATTTGCCTGGTGAATATTGTAGGGGTGCTGTCCATTGCAAGCTCATATAATTCTATTCACACCAATCTTCATAGATTCTATATATACAAGTCGGTGAAACTCCGTCGAAACCGTCTATCACAGCCCCTCATTTCTTGTCCTCTTCTCCCTCTCTGGGTACGGTTTACCAGGCAGTTGTGTGATATCATTTATGCATATAACATATATATACGTGGATGTGCAGGCCCGCCTTCACTTAGGGAGGGCACAAGGGTTGCTGAGGGCGTGAGCCCAGAACGTCTGTGCACCCGCCTGATGAGGGCCTTGCGAGGGCTCATATATTGTATATAATATTATATATACATATATATCGTCAAATAGAACTGCCCGGTAAACCGTAGGCAGAGAGGGAGAAGAGGACATATATATATCGTCACAAATAGATATATATATATATATATATATACACATATACATATACATATATATATAAAGCTTCTATATGTTACTTTAATATAATTCTATGTACAGCTATATTGAACTTGAGCCAGGAAATAACCCGGTCGTAGACACAAATGCTGAAAGAGGAAGAGAAGCCTGTATTGGATGGGGCCGATGGTCATAGTATGGAGGGGCTATTAAGGAATGGAGTATGGAGGGGCTATTAAGGAATGGAGCAGGCGACAATGGAAATGAGAAGGGTGAGAAGGCACTGGAGGAGAAGATGGGCAAGATTAAGAGCATAAGAAGGTACAATACCACAGAATTGAAGGAAAAGCCGAAGTGAAAACAGGTTATCTCATATCCGAATGCACGGGCAGCATGCGCAATCTTGAGGAGGCTCGGCAACTGCATGTCTGGCTGTCATAAGCATTTCGTACAGTCCTCTGTAATCCTCCGTTCTTGCCAAATGTTGCTCGTAACTCAACCACGTTAACACTTCGTTAGTTCTTTGTGTCATCAATTCCCGCTTGCTTGGTGGCATAATGACAGGCAACTCGTCCCTCATTTGCAGGGCTAAGTCCCGGAGTCTCTGCCGTTCACAAAATGCCTCTCTGATTGCATCATCCGTTTGTCTTGATGACTGGGCCTCTTGAACTATCATTGAAGCTTTCTCCTTATCAAGACTCCCGTTGAAAGTAGACTCAGCAGATATGAATCCAACGAGTCCAGTTGCCTCAGCTCTGGCATGGAGAATCCCATTTCCATCCACGTTCAGAATGAGCCGCACAACTGGTTGACCTGATGCTCTCATGGGAGGGATACCCTGCAGTTGAAACACACCAAGGAAGCGGTTGTAGCTGCACAATGCCCGTTCGCCTTCGTACAAGTGAAATGACAAACTTGTCTGGTAATCGAAGGACGTTGAAAAGCACTCTGATCCTGTGGCAGGAAGGAGAGTGTTCCTTGGTATGATCACGTTCATCTGATCAAGGTTCGATTTCACTCCAATGCTCAGTGTTGCAACGTCTTCAACCGATATGGCTGGAGCCTCGTCACACCTGCTTCCCAGAAGTCCGGCCATTAGAGCCGCCCCATAGGCCACAGCTTCGTCCACATTCGTACACAGTAGAGGCTGTCTCCCAAAGAATTGTGCCAGCATGTCTCTGACACGGGGAATCCGTGTGGAACCACCCACAAGAACGACGTGCGCAATGTCTGCTTCACTAACATTTGCTATACCCAGGGCTTCTCGAACCACAGCCAAGCACTTTGTCATGTGGTCTTCAATCAGTAATTCGAATTGTGCCCGGGGTAACTCCATCTGAATATCATGCTCCCCATGAACGCGCTCCACATCTACGTCTACCGAAAGCACACTGGAGAGTCCATGCTTGGCTACCTCGGCTGCCTGCTTCAACTTCAGCAGACTCCGTTGGTTGTTGAGGACCTCATGCCCAGTTTCCTTCTTGAATTCATTGGCCAAGAACCAGACAACTCTACTATCAAAATCTGCACCGCCTAGATGGCCATCTCCTGCCACTCCATTCACAACAAACCTGGAAACTAGGTCAGTTCCCGATGTCACTGAGATAATGGAAACATCAAATGTTCCACCCCCTAGGTCGAACACTAGGATCCTCTTGTCTTGACAGTTTGTTCCTATCACCCTTTGATGAACATATGCCATAGCTGCAGAAGTTGGCTCATTTATCAATCGCAGCACATTCAAGCCTGCCATCTCGCCCGCGTCCTTTGTTGCTTGTCGTTGACTGTCATTAAAATAGGCAGGAACAGTAATCACTGCGTCCCTTATATTAGGGTGATTGGTGAAATCCTCTGCAATCTTCTTCATCTCCTTCAGCAGCATTGCAGAGATTTCCTCTGGCCTGAAGTGCCTTCCATGCTTTCCATAGCTCTGAGGAAGTCGCGGAACTTCTATTAGTGCCTCCCTTGATGGCCCTGCTACTACTTTGAATGGCCATCGTCGGAAGTCCATCTGCACATCCGCATCCAGGAATGCTTTACCCATCAGGCGTTTGACTTCATATATGCATTGCTCTGGATGCTTTTGACCGTACCTCTTTGCAGCCTCCCCGACCAGACATTCCTGCTCCGAGTCGGTGAAAGCAACAAAAGATGGTGTTGTGCGAGACCCAGTCTCATTAGGAATGACTTCCACCATGCCATTGTGAAAGACGGCCACACAGCAGTTCGATGTACCAAGGTCAATGCCAATCACTGCCTCTGACACTGGCTCCATTTCCTGGAGATAACCGTTGAGTTGAGCCCAAGTACAAAGCCCAGTCCTTGAGTTGAGCCCAAGTACAAAGCCCAGTCCACAAAACTAGCCTAAGTGTCCTTGCTAAGACGTCTTTTTTTTCTTTTTTTGTAACGGTCAACCCCTACTCCTCTCTTCGGATGACGACGATGATTCTCCTACAAATGGACATCAAGACATGGTCGGTCACACCGACGGAGGATTTCAGTTCAACTGCCACTCCAATTGGGCCCTTGCTACGACGTCTTGTCTTTGAGAAGTTTGAGGTGAATTCAATTTCTCTTGCTCGTCTCCCATGAACTGACACTGGACTCTGGAGTGATTTCTAAACTTATCAAAAGAAAGAACGGGACTTCCCGCACCTCTGCCAATGCTTCAGGGAGCCTCAAACCATTACTACCATGACCATTAAGAGCTCAATCGACCCTAAAGTACTTCTGCACCAAAGTTCGCCAGCTGTGCAACCGAAGGATTTTTAGTAATTGCCATCGGATTCCCTCTTTCGAGCTAATCCACGAAGTTCACAAGAGAAGCAGATGAAATGTAGAACTTTATGGAGCAGGCGAGGTGCACAAGCAGACTACAGCTGGTCTCAAATCAATAACAGAGAACGCTGAATCAGATCGGATTCCATTGTCTTGATTCTTTTGAATGCATTTGTGCAGAGGAACAAAATCCTGTGCGCAAGGTAGACTACTTCTCCATTCTCCGATCACATAGCTCCACGCGTTGCAGATGGAACACACAGCACAATGGAGCACTTCCCCTTCCCTCTCTCCCTCAGAGGAAAGAGAAAGAGAGCATCATCCGGAAGATGGCAAACAAAGCAGACACATACCACAAAGAGATACTAACCCTGTCACCCTCTCCGGGATGAACAAAACCTGTCGAAGGAAAGTGCATGAAACCTGCCCAACTGGTGGCAGTCCCCCCGCTTTTATTCAAACTACCCACTAGATTTTGCTGCCCTTCCCATCGCCTCTCTCTCTCTCTCTCTCTCTCTCTGTGTCTGTGTGTGTGTGTGTGTGTGTGTGTGTGTGTGTGTGTGTGTGTGTGTGTGTGTGTGTGTGTGTGTGTGTGTGTGTGTGTGTGTGTGTATGCTTGTCTGTATGTGCCAATCGCTTGCTTTGTGTCCTTCTTTCTGTCTGTCTTTGTATTTCCCACCCACATTCAGGAATCACTGGCGAGCAAGTAGTGTACTTCTCCGTTCCTGTGTGAGAGTGCACGAGCAAATTCAGCGGCCATAACACCACTCTCAGTGAGAGCCGGCTGTGTTTTATCTCTTCAGAAACTTCTCAGAATCCTCCATCATCTCCCCTCTATAAAGCAGCAAGAGAAAAGAGCTTTGATGCTTTTGAAGAAATTACACTGGTGCTGGCTTTTCCTCTGAGATTCTCCATGTATTCCTGGATTGCATCTTGATTCGAACTCGGGTCTGTATTTGAAAAGTTTGTAGGGCTAGGAACTGAGCTAGGCTCTACTGGTAGATTCTCCATGTACTCATATTCTTCTCTGTTGACACATTTCACTCACGCAGTAAAGAATTATGCCTATTGCCCAAAAAACGCTTTGCATTCCACCGCCATCGCTCTCATGACAGGAGCACTTGTAAGCACTCTTCTTTCAGAACCTCCTTGTCTGCAGAAGCAGCGAAATTTGGCTTCAAAGCTCAAAACGCCTGTGGCTTGTCGTGTGACAAACGAACTTTGCATCGCCTTCGTTGATTAGCACTTATTCTGTAGGTAATAAACAGGCTGGTTCAGGTCTTGGTCATCCTACTAATATCTACAGCTAATCAAATCAACTGAAGCCCCTTCCGTCTGTAAGGACTGGCGGAGGGTGAAGGTCGTTTCACACTAAAGTATAACACATAGATATATAACTAGTCCTGAGTTTGCTGTTCTTATGGAAGAAGCTTTAGGATCTTCAGAGATGCAATCTGATGTCTCCAGACCTGCAGATCATAATAAACAAGTAGAACGAATTAAAGAATAAACGCTTCGAGAGTCAAAATTAACCAAAGCCGGAAGGCGAAGCAGATTAACCACAGTCCGACAACACATCTTTATAATTTACAGGAATTGACAATGTAACCTCGAGGCGAAATGCCGTCCGATATTTGCTGATTGAACTTTGCGGACAGGCTTGGTACGTTACTGTCATGTTCGCTTGATGTTCATAGGGAATTTTCTTTTTTCCTTTTCTTTTCTCGAAACAAGGCTCCTTCTATTCTGGGCAGTATTAGTCTGGTTCCTATCCCACCGGCTAGTCAAGATACACAAACGCACAGCTTTGACATGCTTTCCCACATTACGGCCCAGGGAACAATGAAGGCATTAATTGCTTCTTTTTGGAAGGATTGACTGTCAGTCAAGCCCATACATTTATTAGGGAATACCCTCCCTTTATCGATGTACCCAGGAACAAAACATACGTGGAACACTGGAAAGCAAGTCGAATGATATTCCTCGCGGGATGCACTTGGAGGACTGTCTGCTAAAACCCTAAGCCCTGGCATAACCCTGGCGTATACTTTGTACTCTGTCTGCAGCCTGTAGTCCACCCTCCGGTACTTGATCGTCAGTCGTTGGTCGAGGCATCGGCCAGTCGGGTCTCCTCGCCCGACTGTTGATTGCTTGGATGAGATTGCCCTGAGTTGCTAGGGTTGATGGAATTGTGCCACTTCTTCCAAGTTAGGTGTTGTCCCTGCGGAGTAGCAATCTTGTCGTTTAGCAGCCATATCCGTCCGAAGTCCCTCTTCCTCCGGATCTCCTGATCTGGTTTGCACAGGAGTAGTCCCTCTATGTGCCTCCATTAGCATCCTTTTTTTTTTTTTTTTTTTTGAAAACAAGTGCTCCAATCTATTCGTGAGGAGCAGCACGTGCTGGGAACCGGGCCTGGCGTCCCATATCGAATTGTAAGCATCTGATCTCCACTTCTACCAGATCTCTTGATTCCCTCCACACTTTCTCTTTAGGATTTTTCAGGCTTCCAATGTGATTCTGCATCACTCCTTCCAGTCCTTCCCCATTGACCACAGGGTCGCCTTCCTGATCATCCCGTACCAGATTCTCTCAGGCTTGGAGAAGGAAGTGGGGAGGCTAGTTGAGGAGTATTTGGGCCAGGAGGGATCGGAAAGGAGAGGGGAATAAGGAGGACCATAGCTCTTTTGCTTTGCACTACCGTCTTCAGCCGAATACAACGTATGGTCATTATTTCTGTATCTAGACTCCAAGTTGCCCCTGATGCAGCTATAATGACCGTATGTTGTATTCGGGTGAAGACGGTAGTACTACTTGGCCTTTTTGCATTTAGCTAAGCAGTATGTGACGTTTACCTTTTCCCATTCTGATCATATGAGGCACTGGTACAAACTGGTTGGGTCTTTCTTCCTCGTGTGTAGCCAGCTGTAGACCAGGAGAGCTGCACACGAGATGATTAGCCATTGAATGCTTCTTATTTTAATGGGTTGGATCATCTTATATTTTTTTCCAGGGAATCTTCTGTATTGGATGATGGTCTTCCCCTAGTTCCCTCGCCCATCTTCTCTGACTTCTCCGAATAGCCGGAGCTGGGTCTTCAGTTCTTAGGAACATCTTATACCCCTTATAGGCTTATACCCAATGTAAATGAATATCCGGTTCTTTCAGGTGATTGGGTCGGGGCCCGGGGGTAATCTCAGATTGTTTTTTTTTTTTTTTTTTTTTCCCTAAAATTCTTATTTCTGTTGGATTTACTTGACTGCCATATTCATCCTCCTGGATCAGAATACCAGTTCATTTAATTGCTTAGTCTGGGTGAAAGATTCTTTGGGGTGTGGAGCCCCACACACTACTACGTTCCTAAAACTATCTCACTGCGATTACGGCCAGATGTGGATGAATCTGACAGCAACGATGTCCAAACGTTAGTAGAAAAGGTCCTAGTGTGAGTATGTCGTTTGTCACTTAGTGGATGTTATCTGCAATGTCATGCGATGATAATTCTATTTATTTTCTAGCTTTGTCTTTTTTGCACTGCCTTGCCTTCGATGTTTACACGTACGCTACAATTACGCTGTGCTTCCTTGTGATCAGAAGTGCGCACTCTCACATAATCTCGGGGCTCGAGATCCTCGTTTCAGGAGCTTGGGCTCGGAATCAATTGAGGTCATTTTCTGCGTGCGTGGAACATCCAATGTTCCGTTCGGTTTATTACTCTTGCATTCTTTGGCAAACTGCTAAGGTTTTCAGATGTTCCTCTTCTCCAACTTCCATTAACCGTGGGATACGACCCTATCAAAGGATTGAAGGGAAGGCGCTAAGTTACGCTAAGTTCTGAATCTTTAATTATGTGGGCATTGTGGGGAGTATGGCTATGTTTGTGAGATCGACTAAGGTAATGGGTGACGTACTGTTCGGCGAGACATCATCCACCAAGAGTATGGAGCAGTGAGATACACCAAATTGAATAATAACATTCACTACATATCGCACACAAATAGAACACGCAAGGGTCATTGATCAAGAGCCATCAATCGAAATAGAACGAAATAAAAAACACCATTGATGCTCAAAATGGGAGATACTCAATCTCCATCTTCCTTGCAACAAAGCATCTCGCCTAAACGACGAAGCTACCCTCTCACCAAAGCGGTCATCCCTCAACGCGTTTCTGCCTCCCCACTCAGTAGCGTCATCAGGAGGTAAAAGATCCAAAAGACTCAAAGCATCGCTCGATTTCGGACAACTAACTCAGCGCCTTACCTCCGTAAATAGAAACGCTAACAACAAAGTAATCCCAGGAAAAACACAATATAGGAGGCATGGACTAATCATAGAGAACAGTCAAGCGACAGTCATAACGGACTCGGATATCCAGCCCGATCCGTCTTCCATCGAAGAGGATGGCATAACTCATCTGCCGGGAATCAATCGTGTGTAAGCAACAGACAGCACCAGTCCAGGAGACACGACAACAGCCATATCACAGAAGGTGAGGAGCACCAAGGCGTTGCGGCAGCAGGAAGAAATTACCTGCAGCCACAGCACACAAAGTGACAAAGACAAA